GTTGAGCTTCTGAGGGTTTCATCTCATACCTCAAGTTACTGTTTCTATCAAGAAACTTATTAAAAAGATGCCAACAATTAAAAATAGCTGTGGACATATATATGTTTAGCAGAGGTGTATAAAGTACTTGAAATGAATAACTATGTAGGGTAACTGCGATGGGTGTGCTGATATAAGTAAAAAATACCTTAACAGTAAAAGACTTTGGCAAAAATGAATTTCATGGATAAGAAAAGTATTTAAGCAAAAATCATATATCATATAAGTTCCAATTAAAAAAATACTTAAAAATACGTAAAATTACAAATCCTCAAAAAATTACGTAAGTACTGTAACAAAGTAAATGTACTAAGCTACAACAAGTCCATAATATCACAGTTTAATAGAAATAAAAGCAATTAAGTTACAGAACACACTGATAAAAACAGCAGATATTTACATCTGAATGTTGCAAACAGAAAACTGAATAAGTTGCCTCCTTTTTTTTTGCTGTCACTTTGGACTTTGATTAAAGCGCAAACAAAGCTGCTTCATAGAAGCTGATGAGCTCAGCAGACTTTGTTTACCCTCTTCCCAAAGGATGTTAAAGGAAACAATTTCAAAAGCATGGGAACAAAATGGAGCTCCTCTCAGCAGGCTTTTATAAGTCTGTAGTTGTCTTTGAAATGTTAAAGTATGGGGTCACAGTTCTATGACCTGAACAGAAACTCTTTTTTTTTTCTCAAGCTTGGTTTCACTGGATTGATCCTCCCCCTTTTAATATTTGGTGTTTAATGGTTTAATTCCTGTAGAAACAAAGTGGTGTGATCCATGGAAAGCTGGAACACCTTCCTCTGGTCACCCTCCCACCCCCACCTCGCCGGCCTCTTTGTTTTGATTGCTGGTAAATAACATGCTGTTTGTGCCTTTGCCCTCTGCACCCGTCATCCTTGACCCTGCGGCGGACCAATCTTTTTAACCCCTGAACCTGAAAGCGTTTGTGCGTGTCGGTGTCTAAAGGCATTCAGAGAAAGGTTGTTATGGTTGTCAAAGTAAGAACAAAACGCTGCTTGGACAATAATGATGCCTTTGGAATGTGAGGACCTGAGTTAAAGGGGTGCAGAATACATTATTAGAAGGCATCATTACTGATGTAGTTTGAACAGAAGACAWTATGAAGTTGCTGGAGGACACATAAAAAGTGGGTAAAGGCTGTTTTCAGTTATCACTGATTGAAAACACGTAATGTGTTCACACAATCCGGTTCATATTACCAAATAAATGTCAAATCTGGAACAATCTTGCTACATTCGCTATAAACATGACATTAGTTTCCGGCATGTAGACACAACACCTCTGTGACTTAGAGCTCGTCTGTCTGCTGCTCTGATCATCTTAGCACCAAAGATTTAGGTCTCTAATCCAGACGCTTCCCTTCCTCCAGTCTGTTTCCTGAGAGATGCACATGACCCGCTCTGCTCCTCGTTTCCCTTCAGCTCCATTAAAGGCCTGTTTAGACACGCTGATCTGCAACTCTCTATAATCTCCCCCGCGCTCAGTAAATGAACCTAAATGATCGAAAGSAGGAACGTGGACATATGTCCAACAAACAGAACTCCTAATGGGACTTAACTGTAATCTGGGTTAAGAATGTAACTTGCTTCAGGTAACATAGGTGGGCATCAAGCATGGAGCGTAAACACACAYTGTACGTAATCTGTTCTGTTGCAGTTTAATTCTGTATTTGTTGTAAAATTAGAGCATTCACAAAGACAAAAGGACAGATTTTRAAGACTCTGGTCAACWGTGAAGCAACARAAACTTGCATAAATCTWTGATGCATTTTAGGTAGGGCCGGCACCAAGCTAATATGGTGCCAAAGGCAAGATTTCAGGTGCCCCCTGTGCAATTTTCCAAATGTTGCTGCCAATTTACATACACAACAAATTAAATAATTTTGTCTTTGATATTATCTTGTTGTCTTTATAAAACAGGTTGTCTAATTCAAACAATTAGCAATATATTTAATCTGTAACAGAATACCAGAAGTCCATCTCATATCTGCCAACATTTGCTGACAGCAACAACATCTGTTCATGTTAACAAGCAGCTGTGGAGTGAAGCAGTTCTAGGGGGCCTCCAGGTGTATAATCCCCCAGAAAATTTAGTAAAAGATTTACTCTGAACTCTCCATTTTCCAGTTGTTTGAAGAGCATTTTACTAAATTCTTGGGATTAATAAAACAACATAAAGTCAGTATTTTATGAAAGTAGAACACGAAAAATCTGACTTTAATTTGAATTTTATCGAAGATCATAWCTGAAACTTTCAGGCTGAGAAACCCACGTACCTTCATAAACTTGAGTAACCAGTGATTATTCTACAGACTTAATCAGCTGATGAAAAATGATAAAATAGTTATTTATCATTTGTGGTTCCCCTTGGATAAACAGCACAGTTAGCATTTGCYTATGCTGTCTATGCTATGGGCCTGATTTTAGGGCAAAATCAGTTTTTCTTATCATTGCTACCTTTTTTTTATTTACCCACATCCTGAAAAGACTTGAGATGTGAGAAGTGCATGAGATAATATGTAAATGTAGATTGGATTGACTCGTGACTGTAGTTTAAAAACATAATTCCACATACTGTCTGCAGAGCCGGGGGCTGCTGGTGGTGGATCCCTGTGGCAGGACCCATGGTGGGTGGAGCGGTTGGAGCAGTAGTTTACTTTGTCTTCATTGATCTGCACCAACATGAACCTGAGAGACGGGCGGACAATGTCCAGGACAAATATGAAGTTATTGCACTCAGTTAAAGTTTGAARAATGGATGTTAAAGCACAGATCTACACAACAGTGATCTATTTATAGGCAGCAGGCTTAATGAGTCTCAGACTTGAATTATTAGTTGGGTTTAAAAAAATGCATAACATTTTATTTTACAGTGGCTATGCAACATTTTAAACGGTCTCCTTATTGGGAGAGTCTTCGATTATTAGAATAGTTTACATTTACAGTATTTTTCATAGTCTGACAAAACAGAACTTTATTAGATGAAGTGTGTATACACAGTATAGTAATTAATATATYGGTTTTTAGTTTTTGCAACCAAGTTTTGTAACATTTTTTTCAACTTTTTCATGCTTGTAAAATAATGTATGACTGATTGCTTTATAGTTCTTTAATTCTTTTTGTTTTTATACCACATATTTAGATATACCAGCCTTAAAAAGCAGTATTCATTATAATTTTTGACTTTTACACTAAAGTTTCAAAGTTGTTTGATATAAACTTCACTTTTAAATCTGTGTCTTAGACGTTCTTATTTCAGATATCTTACTAATAAAAAGCCATAAGAGATATTACTTTGGTCAACTGGCTGGAGGAGAAAAAGACTTTTGCAAATACATTGTGTTTTAACTGAGTCAAGACTAACAAGCTTCACGTTGAAAACATGAGCTGAATGAGGTCAGACTTGATAAATGCCATATCAGTGCAACGTCACAAATTAAACAATAAGAAAATTGTCAATCCTGCTTGAAAGTGTGAAGTAAAATACATCTGTCACATGAAGGTGTCTATTAAAAAGTATTATTGTTGTGTTATTTCTTGCCGTTTTACAGCAGCACAGAGGTTAATTAATGCACAGGACAACTGTTTGGCCACATGCCAATCACAATAAAATGTTCTTTTTTGTGAAACAGAAAAATGTGGTTTGCTGTGAGATTTGATATTGATTGTTATCTTTTAGGTCTTTTTTCACCAAATCCAAATGTGTTTTAGTGTTCTGCAGTTTACTTTGTATTAATTTCTTAATTTTCCATCTAAAACAACATTTTTCACTGTTTGCTGTGTATATGAAGTAACTTTTGTTTTAAATGAGGTATGAGTGTTGTGGTAATGTTATTCTAAAAAGCATCTAAGGTGTGTAATTATGTAAGATGAAACAATATTTTGTGAAACACAGGTGTGTGACGTGTTACTGAATGGTCTTGTACAAAACATCAACTTATGTCTGAGCTGTGTGCAAATAAAAAATATAATTCTCCAAGTGAAGTGATTAACATTYGACCTTTTTTGAATCAATATTTAAAAACTCATCATGACACCTCCATGGTTTTCTGCACTTATTTACCATTGTTAACAAATACACATTTTTCCATTCAGCTTGAAGATACGTTTGAACTGTTTAGTTTCTAACACTGGGCATAACCAAATTCCAATTAAAACTTGAAATAAATTCTTAATAGTTGTTTGAAGCTGGGAGAATTCATTCCTGTCCCACGTTCTAAACTGGACTGAAACTGGTTCTAATAACAAGTACGTGTTCACAAAGATAATCATCTTTTCAATAAAATGTACCAGTAACTAAAATAACAAATACAACTAGGTCAATAGAGAAAACTTACATAAGTTCATGGAGAATAGATGAAGAGTTTATGGTTCAGAGGGTCTTCAGAGGATCCTCTCGTTGACTCTACATTTATAATGCATCACAACAAGCTACTGTACACAACACTGTTTCTGTCTTTCCTCACTGTTTTTTTTTTTTTACAGGCGGTGTTATGTATTTTCCAAGCACATGGTTTAATCATATACCACAATCAAGTAACTATGTTTCATATACCACAATCAAGTAACTATGTTACCTTCATTTGTTATGAAAATTAATTTATCAAAAATAAATGTCTTTGCATCATAGCCGATCTAAACATCTTGAAATTGGCCTCTGCCTCTTTAAGAGCTTCCAACCATTTCTGACACTCCCACTTCAGCACGTCTTCACAACAATGCTTTGAAAAAGGTTGTGCTCTGTAGGGCGAGACTTCAGCTGCAGATTGAGCTGCAGGGAGGAGCTTTGTACAAATAGGCGGTGCTTTGTACCAGCAAATTYAGACTACTCCAAACAGCCACCTCAGGAGATTCAAGGATTCAAACATGCATGAATGAGTCAAAGCAACACYCTGAGTATGTGTTTGATAACAGAATGACATTATAACATTAAATAAAGCTCACAAAAGTTGATTTTTTTGCACAATTCTTATTTGTGTTTAAGTTAACTTCACTTTTTTGTTGTTGCATGAAAGTCAACTGCTTTATCCACATACACACACACGCACACACACACACACACACACACGCTTGTGCACTGTACAGTATGTCCACATCATTTGGAAAAGCACACAGGGTCATGAGGTTTGAAGTCTAGTGCTGCTCAAAGGCACTTCTGTCAAAGATAGTCAGACTGTGATTTAACTCTTTGCTGTTGGGAGGAAAGATAAATTATTACTGATCATATTTACAGCAGAGATGTTTGTTCATCTATGTAATGTAGCCAAAAACAGGAGCATGTTTGTTGAAGCCTGAACCATCCAAACTGTTTGCCCATGATGTAATTAAAACACAAACTGATCTGAACTGAGGTTTGGCAGAAATACACCTAAAATAAAAAACACAAATAAATAAAAATCTGATCATGCTTCATGAGCCTTCATAATATTTACAATGTTGTCACCTGATGAATGTTGTTACCTTTATACAGTGGATATATGACTGAGATACATGAGAGAATGAGAATAAACTGTTCAGATCCAACCACTGAACTATTTAACACACTTTAAAATTAATTAAATTCCAGCACAGTTCTCCTAAATCACTAAAAGTACTAATAGGGGAACTAATTTCCTGATTAGTGCTTTAGGGCTTTTGCTAAATTTTAAATGCATTAGTGGATTAGCTCTTGCTAAATTTATAGGCAACATTTAGAATCGCTAACTGAGGTCTATAAATGTTTTTAATCAGCATTATTGTTAACAGCTAAGGATGAAAGCTGTCACACATTTTTTCATATGTGTGTCACTTATCCACCAGGTGACAATACACTGACAACGTATGAACTCAGATACAGCTGTGGAATGTCAGTGATAACTCTTAAGAGAGCATGGCAACATGTGACTCATGTTGTCCTTTGAAGAATGTGCATGGCTTGACTGGGTTATTTTAGTGCTTTAGAATTAGCTTTTGCTAAATTTTTCAGTGCGTTAGTGCACTAGGGGACCTAAATATTTGAGTTAGTGTTTTAGGGTTAGTGGAACTTATTTTTTAGAATAGTTCTGCCCACCACTGTTACATTTTGCACTAAGAATAACGTAATAGTTTGATTTTACAACAAAATATATTATGTATAGGTACATTATTATTTTGGAGTCAGAAGACAGAAAAGCAGACATATGTCTCTGGTTAATGTAAGAGTCTCTATGACCACTGTGTGACCATTAACCCTGTTTGTGTACTGATCGTACTCCCACCCTTGTCCTCAGTCAAACTGAGCTTTGAAATCAGTCCAGGGAAAAGGTGATGCTGTTATATCACCTGGAAATGTTCAAATCTCTCAATTACACTAAAAAAATGTCATCAGTCATGAAAGTTACTGTCGATTTGTTGATTTGATTTAACTCTTTCTGACATAAATATCTGAACCAACAAGAGAGCAGAGATATTTTAAAACAACTCAAAATTCTGGATGATTTTCCCCCCTCAATTCAGGTAAACAGCAGTGTTAACTCACTTCTTGGCCAGTTTCAGGGTTTATGTTTGAGTGTTAACTGGGTACACAGAGTACTACAGTTTTACTGCTCAATCATGTGTCGCAACRAAGTTGGAAATGAATCTTTTGTCATTTTGAACACCCATGAAGTATTTTAGTTCTTCRGGTAGTTCTGTTTAAAAATAGGAACCTTTCATGTATCCAGGTGGTCCTGGTCAGAGTTTGTTTAAGGACTCCAACCTTCCAGCCACTATCAGCACATTGGACCACATCCCCTTCATGCTCATACCTCTGCTCTTTCACAATATGGTCAGTCACCATGACCCGGCCCCCAGCCAATCAGGTAAGGACTGGAACCACCTGATCCATAAAACCATGACTTGTAGTGTCGCCTTTCTATCTGTTCAGGATGACACAATGATCAGATTTGAAACCTCAGGCAGGAAATGAGGCTTTTTTGACAGAGCTTCTGCGTTTCCCCTACGTAAAGAGCTGGTTTGAGGGATTTATCAAAGTGTGACGTCATGTCTGTGCTCAGAATCTTGTGCTGTCTGCTCATAATTTATCACCTCAGCAACGGGAAGAAAATCAGAGGAAGCAGATCAGGTGAGTATCAAATGAATGTTGAAATGTCTTACAAGCATTTTTTTKGCACTGGTTTAACTTCATGAATAGCACAAAAAGTAAGCAAATTTGTTTTTGGTAGATTATTTCTTTGTTGTAACATCGTTGAAAAGTTTGTTAAWTTCTCTTTTAAATGATGCCACATTTGTAAGGAACATGCATTTGTGGGATGAGCAGTAGAGCTGAGTGTGTGGGTTGTGCACATGAAACATTTGCCAAATCTTCTCTGCCAAACAGCTTATTCTGTTGTTGCTATTGACTCCTGTTTTGAACTTCTGGTACCTCCAGGTACTGCCAATCAGGTGCCAACCATAGGATTTATTGCCAAGAAGCATTGATACAACAAAGAAATAATCTACCAAACACRAATTTACTTACTTTTTGTGCTAAGTTCAGATAAGTGATTCCTAGACAAGTGGAAAGACAGAATAATAGTTAATATTTTGGATGTATTTGTATATTTTTTCCACAGTGCTTTCCAAAGCGTRCAATGAATTTAGTATTAAAGGTAGATGAACAACAAACATCTTACTTGTTTCAGATAACTTTTTGAATGACCTCACATTAAAGAAACCATTTAATTCTGATCAAATTAACAATCTGAAGGCCAGATCACTGTTGCTCTAACTTCAGTCAAAAATATTTCTAATAAACAGTTTATATTTTATAAAACTTTACAACTTTGCATTAAACAGTTATTCCAGCAGGAATAATTCAATAATCCTGCAGTAAGTGACCCAGGCTGCATTAGGAGTGCTATAGCTAGCTGCAACTGCCACCAACCAGCAACTGCTTTTGCAAAAAAAAAAAAAAACTGTTATGATATTTTTGATATTTGCAGCAATCCACATGGTCTTGATCCCACTCAGATTAACATTTAGTTCATGAGTCAAATTTAAACTATTCAGTCAAAGTGAGGTTGTTTATCCTCAACAGGTTAGATACCAATGATTCATAACGTTCAACAGATCTGAACAATCACTTGGACAATGTTAATATAATGTATAAAGTTTAGCACAAACATGCTGACTGGGGTGAAAAATGTTCCCCTGCTCAATCTGTGCTTAATAAAAAACCACAAAGAGAACGTTGGCATCTAATGTTAGACCATTAACACAGTTTCTCTTGTTGTGTTTGATTTACACAAATATCTTCACAGAGCAAAACACACAAACACTTCTCATTTCACTGAAGCCAAAATGTAGCAATCAATGTCAGCATTTTGTTGTACAACAAAGGTTTGAAGAATTAATCATAAATTTATGTTGCAGTGAAAACAAAAACAAAGAGAATTTCACCCAATTTAGGTATTCTTGTTCTTTTAATAAAAAAAACTTCACATCAGAAATTAGATTAAAACTGTTTTAGGCTACAGTCTAGGTATGAAAAGGAGCAGAAAAAGACTCTGTTTACCATCAGCCTTTCATGTTTTTGCATTAAGGCTTCCACTGATCCAGAGAGGAAACTTGTAATTATTCACCCCAAAGTAAACATTTCCAGTTACCAGTTTGTGAGGAGAAAACTCAAGAAGAGCAAACAGATAACCCTGCTGCTGTTTGATTTCTGAGATGTGTGGGAGCCGGCAGAGAGGGCCGTCCTGCGGGTGAAAGAGCCACATGTCAGCAGGTCAGTCTTCAGGCTGTTTTTGGGAGGTGAGGACACCTGCACGCTGGACCTTCTGCAGCTGCAAACGCTCACCTCCTGCGGCTTCAACAGCAGTAATCCCCTCATCATCATCACTCATGGGTGGTCGGTAAGGTCAACTTCTTTACGCCTCGCTGAACACAGAACAGAACACAACCTCAGCAAAGGAAACATGTTAGCTTAATGATGGWGGTAAAAATGAAAACTATTTTGATCAAATACAGTTTTTTTTCTCACATTGTTACTCATGTGACTCTCAGAAACAGATTTTTTCTTTAACTGAACTGAATGAACACTAAGACGTTCAAACAAGTTGTGTTTTGAAAGACACTTTTTCAACTTTCCTTGTTTTTCAGGTGGATGGTATGATGGAGAGCTGGGTGTTCAGGATGGCCACTTTGCTAAAAGCAAACGCTGTAAACGTTAACGTGGTGATCACCGACTGGATGTCTCTGGCTTGTCAGCATTATCCTTTAGCTGTAAAGAGCACCCGCACTGTGGGGAAGGATATAGCTCACCTGCTGCAAAAACTTCAGGTCACACAGTTTATTTCTTAAGAAAAAAAAACGTAATTTTTAACCTCAAATTAAACTTTATTCTTGTTATAAACTCTAACCCCGTTGCATGCATTTAAGTGTTTTATTTGTTATAAATCTGTAGGAAAAGTACCAGTATTCAGCTAGAAAGGCTCATCTGATTGGCTACAGCCTGGGAGCTCATATATCTGGATTTGCTGGCAGTTTTCTGTCTGGTTCAGAGAAGATCGGAAGAATTACTGGTGAGTTTTCTTTAATCATTGCTCAAGGGTAATTATAGTGACCAAAAATAAACATAGAATCTTATTTGCCAAAAAATATAAATAAAAAATATAAATATATTTTGAATCACTAAATATTTAATATTTCAATGAAAGCAGTAAAACTGGTGGAACACGACACAACTGACTAAGAAGAATGAAAGAGATTTAAAAAGCATCAGCAAAAAGGTTTTCAAAAATAACAAATTATTAATAATATTGCTTACTGTAAAATACTTTTTAAAATTTTGTTTAGCTGTTCATGATGCATGGAACCTAAAATTGGCCAAATGATTGCTGAAATTTGCTGCAGAATCCAAACTGTGAAAACAAAAGTTTCAAGGGGCAGAGATTYGCTGAAAAATGCAGAAATATGCAGACAAAAAATGAAAAGATACATAGCTGAAAGGGGGTAAAAAAAAGCTGAAGAGAGATGAAAGAAAGTGAAAAGGAAAAAAGAGAAAAGTTTAAAGTAGGCGCACAAGATGTTGAAGTTAGAGGAATTGCAGAGAAACTCAAAACGATAGCAGATCAGCAAAAAAAGTAACAGAAGGAAGCTGAAATTAGTACAAAAAAAAAAAACAGAACCAGAACAAAATTTAAAAGGTSTAGTAAAGATGTATGAACTTTAAGAGAGTTTTAAGAATGTGAAAAAAAATGGCCAAAATAACGCTAAATATCCCTTAATGTATAAACTGCTGAAATACCAACAGTCAGAACGTCCTGAAGGAGCTGGACATATTGATTTATAAACTGTTGAAAAAGCACAAAAAATGTACAGAAGAAAAAAAAAGATCTTAAAGCTGGAAAAGCATTCAGACCGTTATTGACACAACATGCTGTGGTCCAGATGACTTTTGTTTCTGTGAAGATTTTGGTTATTTTAGCAGGAAATTCATGCATCCTTCATACAAAATAATAAAACGTGCAGAAAAGGTTCTGAACTGATCAGTAGTTACATATCAGTGAACAAACATGTCACGAGTCCAAAACACTCACAGTGAAGTAAAAAGGAGTTTCCCCTGCTTCAGCAATCATTACCTTCTTTTTGTTTTGAATATTTGCAAATCATTTTGTGTTTTTTTGCGTGTTTCTGTCTGAAACAACGTGCTGTATTTATATTTTGCATTTCCAGGCCTGGATCCAGCAGGGCCTCTGTTTGAAGGGATGTCTCCCACAGACAGACTTTCTCCTGACGATGCCGAGTTTGTGGACGCCATCCACACCTTCACCCATGAACGTTTGGGCCTCAGCGTTGGCATCAAGCAAGCCGTGGCACATTACGACTTTTACCCCAACGGAGGAGACTTTCAGCCTGGGTGTAACCTGCAGAACATCTACGAGCACATCAGCGAGTACGGGATCTCTGGTATGATAAGAACACTCCACAACGATAATYAGTAATACTAAATATTGTTAGCAATTTTCAAGAAGAGATGCCGCTGCAAGCTCAGCATATTTTTATGGAAAAAACCCTGAATTTTTAGATGTCTGTAAAAGCAGACAAAAACAAAATGTTAAGATAATAATAATAATTCTGTTTTTGTTTTTGGACTTTAATGAATACGCCTACTAGAAGAATTTAATTTATTAAGTTCTCATAACTCGTGAACAGATTTAAACAATAATAAAAATAAGGAAAATGAAGATCTGACTTGCTGAGATTGAAATGATTGGTTTGTTTTTTTACCCAACAATTTCTTCTGGTTCTCCTAAAAGGCTACAAATTTGCAAACTCTTTCACAAAGTGTAAAAAGTAATTTCATACCACTTCAAATCATTTTTGAATCAAAATAATAAGCTTTTTTAGGTAAACAGTATAATTCTGAAACAAACCTCTAAGATCTTTAGACTGATGAGTTTTTTTAATAGTTTGACAGTTTCTATGACCTCATGGTGTTATTTACAACCCAGTGAAAAAAATAAATATTGCGTTCAGATTTGCTGGTTAGCTTGTTTGTGTTCTTTATCACAACATTTTTATTTTCCTAATTCATCTTGCCAAATCAGAAACACTGCTTTAGATGCTTCATCTTGACAGTTTCTCATTCTGACTTTATGCTGATGCATTTAATTGCCTCCAGTCCCACAAAAGTGGCTCGGGGGAACTGATGGTGCCTCTTAATCAAACACAGATCTGCGTAATATGACAGGGACATCCACATTAAAGCAGCTGTCATCCTCAGGAGTTAATTGGCAACATGTGCTTATAGAGCTGAGCTGCCTTCAGGCTACATGAGAGTCCACTCAGAGCAGTGATGTGAGGATGTGACAGGAAAACAGGCAGATGGATGTAAGAGTCTGACTCATCAAAAAAAACGTCTCACGTTTCCATCTTCATGCAGGCTTCGAACAGACAGTGAAATGTTCCCACGAGCGCTCCGTCCATCTGTTCATGGACTCTCTGCTGAACAAAGACAAGCAGAGCACGGCCTACTTGTGCAGCAACAACAACGCTTTTGGCAGGGGGGTCTGCCTGGACTGCAGGAGGAACCGCTGCAACACTCTGGGTTACAACATCAAGAAGGTTCGCACGGCCAAAAGCAAGAAGCTCTACCTGAACACACGATCCCGCATGCCTTTCAAACGTACGTACCTGTCCTGCCTACACATTAGTACCCAAAGTTTCTATAAAACATTTGTTTCATGTTCAACACACAGAAACAAATACTGAAATAAATTAAGCTTTTTTTCTTAATCCAAGTTTATATCACTAAAAATCCAATACAAAAAATGAAATGTGTGTTAACAGAATTATTTTATGATTGAATCATTTCAGACATGTCAAATTCATTGTATAGAACAAGTCTGTGTATCTATACATATCCACATACACACATATTTTGAACATATAGGACCCTTTTAAAATAAATTTGTATCAGTAAATGAAACTATTATTAGTGAATCTACACAAATAAACCTGTAAAATAAAATATACACTAAATGTGCAGACACCTATGTACATACAGCGGGTAAAATAAGTATTGAACACGTCACCATTTTTCTCAGTAAATATATTACTAGAGGTGCTAATGACATGAAATTTTCACC